GCCGATTGTTAGTCACCGACTACCATGAGGCTGCATCTCCTTACGTTGCTCTACTATCTTGTCGATTAGACCTGCAGATCCAATGCTCGGAATGTGACCTTCAAACAAAACTACCTGATTCGATTAGGACATTATTCCAAACCCTCATATATAAAAAAGTGATGAAGTGTGGCACGTATATATTTAGTGCACCCCCTCCCTCTACTATTTAAAATATAATTTATTTCCTATAGAACATTTTCTTTATAAAAAAACATAGATCATTTCTATACATGACTACTAATTCTCTTTAGAAACTATTCTAAATTATGTTCATTTACAATTACTGAATAGGATTAAACAATGAACTATATCAATTCAAATGTGGGCAATTCATTTGTTTGTTTGTTTTTTTTTTTTCTTTCTCTCTCGAAAAAAAAGTTAACTCTAGAACGGTATAACGAGGATAATGACGATTAAAACAAATACAATAGTAATATTGTAGTGTGGTCTACTTATATCCATATAAGTAGTATATGATGATGGTCAGGCATAGAATGTATTTCAGTAGAAGATCGATAAGGAAAGAACAAGAATGAAGTACAATAGGTATGAAAATGCATAAACAATGAAATCAGAGAAAATGGATAGATATTTGCAGAAGGAACAATCAAGATTAAGACAATTGATTGATAGTGTGCAAATTAACTGTTTACTAATGTATGGTTTGAATAATTTTTTCTGGTTAGCGTTTTTTAGCGAGTTGGTTTTTTACGGAATGGGGTTGCTAACCCCATGCCCAACCCTCTTTCTTTACCCAGGCTTGGGACCGGCAGTAGCCCCTGGAGGAGCTACAGGCGGAATTTTACTAATGGTTATCAGATTTTAATGAGATAGTCTGTAATTTTGTGCTTAAATACATTCGATTGTGCTCACTAGTGTTCTTGCACACTACTATATAACTAAGTACATCAGAGTGCATAGAATCTACTAATAACTAACTAATTCTTTATACATGACAACAAAAACACTTCAATACTTAAGATTACTAAATAGAGATACCCCTTCATAACATTAAACAGATTAGATCTAAGAATAGAAATGATTAATAAATGAACTGAACTCATTTATAAATGTGGTAATAGTTTCATAGTTCACATCAAATACAACAGTAGAAATCCCTGAACGGCTATTTTATCGTAGTATGGAACTAAACAGAAACACTAATTGACAAACTATCCAAAGATCTAATTCAACACCTTCTTTAAGCCATGTTGCAGTGAATACTCAAACTTCAGTTAGAATCAAGTAGTTTATAGTTTTAACTTGTTATTAGTGAATAATTACTTTACGCTTAATATGGTAGAAAATTCCTGGTCAAAGCTACATCTATTAGAACTATAGAAATTATTTCTCAAAATTAGTCATCAATCTGTGTATTTTCATAGTTGAAAGCGTGAGTCAATTGAAACTAGACCACCAAGGAAAACCTGAAAGCACTGCATAACCGTTCCGACCTATTGTGGAACTCCTCAGTCGCAGTGCGCATCCACGACCTCGCCTCGCGAGATTCGAACCCAGGACCTACCAGTCTAGCGGCGAAGCACTTAACTGTATTATTGTTATGATTATCATGATTATTATTACGATGGTTTTGTGGAAACTGGTGAATTTGGTAGTTTACATAATACATTATAACCTACAATTATATCATCTAATAGACTAATTAAAGTATTATTTCATTTGACCATAGTTCTCGTGGTTACACATTGCCAATACAATAGTGATAATAATAATAATTTAGCAGCCACAACAACAAAAATGAAACAATAACAACATACAGGTCATATTGACATCACTGTATACAATAATTCAACTATTTATCAACAAAAAGTTAGACTAAGATACACAAATAAAGACAGAGAGAGAGAGAGAGAGTATTTTTACATAAATTACTCACATCAACAAATCACATGTCTATATGGATCCAGTGATTAAGTGATGAGTGAGAGAAAAAATATTCTAATTTTAAGAATAAGGTCAATATTGTCATATACAGTACACAACATCTGACCCAATGTAAATGTACATGTACAAAGAGTAATCAAGTACAAAGTAATCAATATACTGCGATAAGAAATAACCAATGTGAATAGAAAAAAAATCTTGAAACCAACTAATTTACGGTTTAAACAACCATAGACAAATCCAAATTGATGACAACCATTCAATTAGTATTGTTTGTCTGAATCTTCCGATTGATGTTTAGGGCTGAAACTGATATCTAACTTCAACTGACATTAACACCGTTGGATGCCGGCTCAGTGGTCTATCGGTTAAGGGCTCTGACTCGAGACTGGTAGGTCCTGGGTTCGAATCTCGCAAGTCGGGATCGTGGATGCGCACTGCTGAGGAGTCCCGTAATACGACGAAATGGCCGTCCAGTGCTTCCAGGATTTCCATGGTGGTCTAGCTTCAATTGACTCACGCTTTCAACTATGAAAATACTAATTGAATTTAAACTTTACCCATTGCACAAGCAAGTGGCTATCAAGATTCAGTAGCTGAGTGAATAACGTGATGGCGTTTGAAGCAAATGGTACTGGGTTCGACTCACAAAGTGAACATCAACTCTGAGATGCAGGCACATCCAGTTGACGAGTCCTAAATAGGACGAATCGCACGTCCTGGATTTCACTGCTAGCCACTATCCATCTTTGCTTATCATACATATATTAGTTTTTTTATTAAAAAAAAAACATTTAAAAGGAAAGAAAAATAGAAAACCATTTCTTCTTCTTTTTTTTTTAATCTGCCGTTGCCATCTCCCTTATCATTTTTGTATTAGAATAGTACTTTTATTGTGACTAGTCATATGATTAATTCATTATGAGATAGATAGATATATCAATAAAAGTTGGATAAAGTTCATTTTCTATATTAAAAAAATCGGTTATCACAAGATGATCACATTTTAATACAACTACATACATATATAGCTAACAACAAACGGTTATTTATTTATGATCAAATTATATTAGTTCAAGGGAGTTTTTTTTTTTTAATATTAAATGTTGTACATTAAAAGACTAACATGAATTAGAAAAAAAATGGTTGTGAAGTCAAGGAGTAGTAGATGTTGATTTTATTTTAGTTTGTATCTTATACTCATAATATGATATCCACAATTGCATACTAGATAGAATCTGTGATTTCCAAGTCTTGGATAATATTAGATAGTTTAATGCCTCCAAATGCCTTGGTATAGCCGAGAGTGGGGAGAGTACGCTATCCCTCTCGAAATACTCTCACATGGCCACAAGTATATAGCCTCTGACAGGGAAATCCTACTCATTGCCTTCTCGTGGCATTACTGTTGTTTACGAAATTGAGAGGACGAAAAGCGAATGTCCGGCGCTTTTGACCGGTTTGGTGGACACGGAGAGTCTACCTAGGGGAGTTGGAAAACCCTCATTACAAACCAATGGTGCATATGGGCTGGCTCCAGTATCCTGATGGAACCGAATGGCGTATGAACCTATTGTTGGTCACCGGCTACCACTGGACTGCATCTCCTTACGATGCTCCACTGCCTTGTGGACCAGACCTTTATGTAGAAGACTCCAGGTGTGACTCTAAGAAAACCACTTGTTTTGGTCTGACCACCTAGGCAGTATCATAGTGCATACAGAAATCAAGTGATTTGTGTGGTGCATATGTATTCAGTGCCCATTTGTACCAATATTTGTGTGTTCAAATAAACAAATAAGTAAATAAACAAGCAACAAAACATACACATTGAGTTCGATATTAAATAATTAAAAAAACATATCGAACGAATATTTTTAAAATCAAACAAGAAAAAAGCTGAGTGAAGTACATAAATTATAAGAAGTTGCTTTAATCAGTCAGTTAGTCACAACTTAGAACTTCGTACGTACGTACGTCAGTTCGAGTTGCCATACCACGTTAGTACAGAGATGCAGTTGTCGTATCAAATCTCATAGTGGTAGAAGTAGTAAGAGTATAAGCAATAATGTGAAAGATTAGGGTTTGAAGATGTTATTCAAGAAGTATAATACAGTGAAATAATTTTGAAAAGAGAAAAAAGATAGAGACATGAAGAATTCAGAAGATTAGAATTTAGTAGAACACAAAGAGTGGATGCACCTTAGCCATTGCAAACAAATTTGAGCCATGTCATTCAAGGTCTCTAACCATCGGTTGCTATCATCTCGCGAATCCCAACCAGGTAGTCTACACCTACCAACATGGCTCAGTCCAATTGTCAGTGACTTCATGGATTCGTGCCACGCTTTGGTCTGGCCGCTCTTAGCCTTCTTCCAACCTACTCCTACTTTAATAATCAAGTTCAAATTAATTTATCACTTTAAAAACAACGCACTAAGCAGTAAGCCATTTAACAAGTATAGACAATGAGTTGCAATTCTCGATATGAAGGTTAAGGTTTCATCTTTTTCCAGTAGATATTGTAAGGCTTGGATCCTGTTGTTGAGAGATATCTAATGAATTAATAACTCTGCCCATAGCTCTTCTATAGTTACTGCCAGTCCCAAGCCGGATAAAGGAGGAGGATTGGGCATGTGGTAAGCAACCCCATCCCATAGAAAACAACCTTGCTAAAAAACACCAACCAGATTAAATTAGCAAGACAAATGTCAGTGGCTGTAGTAGGCATTAAGCATAGATAATATGATTCAAGAAGGAATGAACTTGCAGAATAGAGAGTGTAAATATTACAAGACTGAAAGTGAATCCATCTGAGATCATGGGATATTTTCCAAGTCATGTTATTCAGCATCTCAAACAGCTTGCCACGATAATCGTATGAACCTCACTAAGGAAGTTTACACCCGGTAACATGACTCACTTCAACAGTCGATAATACTGTGGAGTAATGTTTTTGTTTATCTTTACCTATTCTTAACTCTTCTCCAGTCTACCGCTAACTCAGCTAATGAATAGTATTCACTGATATAATTTAACAAACTAAAACTTACTTTGTGAGAAATTAGACATTGGAAAGTCGGACGAATTTTCTGATGTGAAGGAAGAGAAAGAAGAACGTGATGATGATGATGAATGTTTCTTTTGTCGATGATTAATCCATTCACCCCATAAATCTTTATCATTACCAAGTTTATGACACCAGTCAAAACGTGAGCGACTTTGTGGTGTAATTTCCATAGTATTTGCAGGCACAACATCATGATTACCTAATACAGGTAGAATATAAACTTCATCCACTGGAAATGATTGTTTCAACGCTTTACTTATTAACCGGATACCATCCAAAAGTTGATCGGATGTCAAACTGTCATCATGTGGTCCATTATCACTAAGCAGTGGTGAGGAAATAAATCAAAAAAACAAAAAGCGGTTTCTGATATGAAAATAACCACAAACTTTGGTTGCTTTTAAAGTGTTACAAGATAAACTTTTTTTGAAAAAAATGAGTTAGAGTCAATTTCACAATCATTGAAAACAACAGAATACATGGTGGGAAATGTATCAGATACTATAGGCTTTTCACAGACAGATTTAACTGTTTTAGTGAGGTTAGACACAGGGTATTAAGGAATGATGGTAAATCAGTTGATGAAGTCATGAATCTTCATCGACTGAGATGGTTTGGCCACGTGTTACGTATGCCTGAACACCGATTACACGACGCGTTATGCTGACTAGTGTAGGGTATGGTTGGAAGAGATTTAGGGGCAGCCAAACCAAAACGTGGCATCAATGCTCGAAGTCACTGACTTCTAGTGTGAGCCATGTCGGTAAATGCAGATTACTTGATTGAGGTCCGCGTGACTATCGTAACCAATGGTTGGAGACTCTGAGTGATATGGCTCAGAATCGATCACAATGACATAGATATATACACTCTATGTCTTCCCTTAAACTATGAGATTAAAATTGCTTCATATCTGTCTTCCTTCCTATACTATATCCTTATATACAACCTTTGTTTTATATATTACCACGACTAAATTAACTACTTTTATGAATTCGGTGTTCATCATGTGGTTCTAACAAGGTATGGCAACTTCGACCGATAAATAAATGTGCCTGGTTCTGCGTTGTGGCTGACTGGCTGACTGACGCCAACTTTTCAATAACCAGACTCGATATAAATGTACACAACAATCCAAGGTGTTAAACTTCGCAAGAGCAAAAGTGATATGATCATCATTAACGGTACGAGCAATAATAGAAAGTTTAAATGGGAAATAAAGCAAAATTAAATGAATCTTATTATCAGAAGGATATTTGTGGAGATTTCAGTATTTTTCAAAGTTGAAACTATGAGTCAAGTGAAGCTAGACCACCGTCGAAAACCTGGAAGCACTGGACAGCCGTTACGTTCTATTATGGGATGAGCACTGCTGATGAGTCCCATAATAGAACGAAACGGCTGTCCAGTGCTTCCAGGTTTTCGATGGTGGTCTAGCTTCAATTGACTCATGATTTCAACTTTGAAGAATCTTATTATGATTCTACTGCCTAGTAGTATACATTGGACACTACTTCACTTGATTTCTCAGAAATCAAAACAACAATTAGAGGTGAACAGTAAAAGATGTAATGGTTCAAAACATTAGGACCAACATTTACAATTCAAGAAAGAAATCATCGTTTTGTTTGAGACATATGATATATTTACAGACCAAATAGGAAATACATGGATTTTGTTTTCTTACTTCAAGAAGGTTCAGGAAGATACTTCTATAGTAGGGAAATCCATGTCTTTTGATTTTTCTTCGGTCTTTGATTGAGGTCAACACAGTCTTCCATAAGTAAGATTATTTAATATGTTCTACATAACACATTCATTAGTTCTGAATCGAAACAGTACATTACACTATACTAGAAGATTACTATCAATTAGTGTTCAGTTTCTGACAGATCCTAGTTCAGTCAATCATTATTTATTTTATTTTATTTAAACACATAAATATTGGTACAAGGAAGCACCAGATAAATATGCGCCGCACAAATCTCATTTGATATGTGTGAGGGCTGTAATACTGCACAGGTGTCCAAACTGAAGGAGATGGTTTTCTGAGCTCAGTTTTCTGAACTCAGTAATAATGCCAGGATGTTTGGGATGCGATTCTCCCCATCCAAATGTAAATTGTTACTCCAGGACTGGCCTGCGTCAACACCCGAACTAAGGATAGGGAGTGAAGTAGTCGAACGCGTCGACAACTTCACTTATCTTGGAAGTCTGATCAGCCCTAATGGGTTGGTGTCTGACGAAATCTCAGCACGGATTCGAAAAGCTCTTTTGGCTTTTGCCAACTTACGTCACCTATGGCGAAGACGAGATATCCGTCTATCAATTAAAGGACGAGTATACTGCGCATCAGTTCGCTCTGTTCTACTTTACGGTTGTGAAACATGGCCATTAAGAGTAGAAGATACTCGTAGGTTACTAGTATTTGACCACAGATGCCTTAGAAATATTGCTCACATCTGCTGGGATCACCGGATAAGTAATAGTGAGGTTAGATGCAGGGTATTAGGGAACGATGGTAAATCAGTTGATGAGGTGATGAATCTTCATCGACTGAGATGGTTGGGTCATGTGTTACGTATGCCTGAACACCGATTACCACGACGCGTCATGCTGACTAGTGTAGGGGATGATTGGAAGAGAGTTAGGGGCGGCCAAACCAAAACATGGCATCAGTGTTTGAAGTCACTAACTGGTAGTCTGAGCCATGTTGGCAGATGCAGACTACTTGGTTGGGGTCCGCGTGACTATCGTAACCAATGGTTGGAGACTCTAGGTGACATGGCTCAGAATCGATCACAATGGTGTAGGTGTATACACTCTTTATCTTCCTTTAAACCTTGAGACTAAAATTGCTTCATATCTCCCTTAATGTACTATATCCTTATATACAACCTATAATTTATATACTACTACCACCACTAAATTAATTACTTCTATGAATCCGGTGTTCATCTTGTTGTGCTAACGAGGTATGGCAACTTGGACCGATGCATAAATGTGCCTGGTCCTACGTTGTAGCTGACTGACTGACTGAGGTGGCCACACTCGGAGCCTTTGACCTAAAGATCTGATCCATAAGGCAGTGGAGCATCGTTAAGAGATGCAGTCCCATGGTAGCCGATGACCAACGATTGATTCATACGCCATTTGTCCCCTCAGGATACTGGAACCCATGTGCACTATTGGTTTGTAATGGGGGTTTTCCAACTCCCCTAGGTGGACTCGCCGTGTCCACCAACCCGGTTAAAGTGCCGGATATTCGCTTTTTGTTCTCTCAATTTTGTAAACACCACCGGTGCCACGAGAAGGCAGTGAGTAGGACTTCCCTGGCGTGGCCATGTGAGAGCATTTGGAGAGGGAGAGCAGACTCTCCCCACTCTTGGTCGTACCAGGGCATTTGGGGCAGAAATATGTAAAAGAGAGGTTATACAAAAACGATATAGTACAGGAAGGAGGAAAAATATGAAGCAATTTTAATCTCAAAGTTTAAGAGAAGATAAAAAGTATATAAAACCGCGCCATTTTGATCGATTCTGAGCCATGTCACACACAGTCTCCAACCATTCGTTACGATAGTTACGCGGACCCCAACCAAGTAGTCTGCATTTACCAACATGGCTCAGACTAGAAGTTATTGACTTTGTGGACTGATGCCACGTTTTGGTTTGGCCGTCCCTAACTTTCTTCCAACCATCTCCAATACTAAACAGCATTACGCACCGTGGTAATCGGTGTATTAAAAAAACATTCCACTTAATCTCAGGTAATTTGTTTACTTGGTTTATGTATACATGTATACCGTTATCGTATTCACTTATGTTAAACTTATTGAAACACTTTGTGCTGAGAATTCTGTATTCTGCCAAACATATATTGAATAAGGCTATTGATAATAATAATAATAATAATAATAATAATAATAATAATAATAATAATAATAATAATAGTGTGCTTTGATCATATGACACCTGTAATTAATCGAAATATGTATCCGATAAACTGTAGTTGGGAAAAGCTCTTAAGGAGTCGTACAAAAAAAGACCGATAGTACAATTTCTTGTATTGAACTTCAGTCGGCGGCATTCAATACAAAAAATAATTTTGATAAGAATAAATGTCAATATCATAAACAAATAATAATCAGAATATAAGAATTGTATAACCAACATAGAAAAAAAGGATTTACCCGCTCCAAATAACAAAATCCGGTGTTTTAGCAAATAACATTCTAGTTGAATTGATTGCATTTAAAGCAAGTTTGAGTGAAGAATCACAAGAATAATTACCATATGGAAGATTACATGATTTATTTACATATTTTAAATCACAATGAATATCACTTAAATGCCAGAAGTAACCTAAAATCAGTAAGAAAGATACCATTTTTATGCTTTTCTCTATCATTTTTATAACAAACAGTATCTAATTAGAATAACACAAATATTGAATAGTTAAAGATGAAAAAAGTGACGATTAAACATTATTCCATTTCGTCGTATCATCTGATAGTTAATTGACTGAAAGTGAATATATGGTGCTGTTAGTTAAGGCACTAGTATTTTAATTAGTGGCTTACTAGCTTGAATCTTTAGTCAGTCAACATCAACATAAGAACTGGCACTACTGAGTATTTCTAAGTTGCCACATATGTTAGCGTAGTTAGGGAAATCAGTGAGATGAAAAAGACAGGATTAAAAACAATACCAACTGCAGTTTGACTGAGTTCGAATTCCACAACGAGCATTAGATCCCTCAAGATTCCAAGTGTCTCACATGCTAACAGATGCCAACATTTAAAGAACTTAGGTTTGAATTTGCGAGGAAAATACCTGCAACCGCCTCACATCAAAACAGGCTACGGTATGTTGAGCCACATAGATTAATAGCCACACTGCAACTTAATCAAGAGGATCTGATCAGTACAAAAACAGGACAAACAATATTTGTTATTACGCAATAAACGGTTAATATAAGCATCTCAATCCTAGAGGTCTTTTTTGACCTGAATAATTCAGTGATAATATCTCAGTCTGTGAAGCTTGGTCACGCGAGTCCGAACTCCATGTGAAGCACCAGTCCTCTTGAGATTGCATGAAATCTAGATCCAGAGCCTTCTGGCGATTAATCTTAGCTACTTAACATCAAATTCAAACATCAGAAATCCCGTATTTGAGGAAGCAAATGAGACCGAATAATCAAAAGCTAAAAAAAAACACAAACCAAGATTTGGATGAAAATAGAAAATAAGTATTAATTAGCAACACAAACCACATCCTAACATTACAAACGTAACAGTTACACCATATTCGAGTAGTGCTTTGGAAACATTTATGGTCAAATACTAGCATCCGAGGTATAGAATTAATTTTCAAAAACCATGTTTACCAAGTCATGCAGTAGTAAACGGCAAACAGTTGAGCATTATTATAGCTCTGAAAGACTGGGTGATATTTTACTTGGAATACATGTGCGATCAGTGTTTGAAAAGTCTAATCAAGAAATTCACATCTAAAAAGAACATTTAGGATAGCTAGGTAGAAATAGGAAGTGGTATGACGAAGTGAATACCACAATTTCTGACTTGACTAATTCCCGACCGTTGCTGTTACCTTGACGTGGTGGTCGGGCTTGCCTATCGTGATAAATCAACCGAGCTATACTGGTTGGAACTATCGTTCCTCAAGGTCCTACCATACCAGACAGGTCGGTTGAAGAGCAATAAGACTAAAAGCAGCAAACCCAAGGTCCGAAAGCGAAGTCGTACTGCTGACTGTACAGAGGTGTGACAGCAGTAAGGTGTTTCCTTCAGACAACCAGCATAACAGCGATGCTGCCTTCCCACAAGGAAGGAAATGGGTTAGAAAAGGTCGACCCTAAAAATGCACACCTCGCCTTATCCCACGGATTTCCGTCTCCCGCGGTAAGGACCTTTGAAGAACGGAGCTAACACGTCAAAAATCCCCCACAAAAAGGCCGTGCGCGACAGGCCTCAAGAGGTTGTTCCTTTGGCACTGCGGTCACGCTCTCAGGTCATTAAGACCACTTCTAACCCAATTTCTCTTTCAGGTATCTCTAGAAGAACCCTTCCACGGTGTGGGCGACCGGGAAGTGATAACTGCCCCCATACCTAACAGCACTCAAGACTGACTGACTGACTTGACTAATAGCATGTGAATTAAGTGTCTTTAGTAAGTATACGAATTTCTTTGCTGATTTTCAGTAAAAAAAATAGCCGCAAAACATGCCAGTCAATGGAGTTAAACATCTCCTTTACGTGAGAAAACACTAGTTGAACCCATATGTATTTCTGTATTTTGAGACCTGCCAACAAGGTGAGATTTGATATTTTCACCAACAAGCGGAAGGCTCTTCGACTGTTCTAGGTTGACAGTTCTCGAGCACTAGTCAGACATGAAGTGATCAGGAGACCACGTTAGCTAAATAGCAGTTTACAAGAGCGACAAATTAGACTGAGACCAGGGGAAGTAGAACACCTCCCTTGATATAATCATCCATACAGATTTTACCAATGCTTAAAAACAGCACATAAGCATTAATCTAGACCTTAGGGCCGAAGTAGAGTTGTGAATTAATGTGAAGAATTAGGATTTGAATCAGGGTTGCCGTTTTTCACACGGAAAGATACCTCAGCATTAAGTGGTTGAGATACGTTGAAATTAATATTAGCGACAACTACTGACAGTGGCCAACTCTAAATCAAAAATTTACTTGGTCGGGAAGAATATGAAAGTCCCAGATGTACAGTGCTAGTGATAGCAAAAGGCAACACAAATGCGTCTTGAAATAGGGAATCGAACGTTGAATAACTTTTGCTGAATAATATAGCCGAAGCTACTTAGATGAACTTGTAGTCCCTACCAGTTGCAAACTAAAAATTGATTCCTGACCATTTACTTGTGGAACCCAAAATACTAACTTGTACAAACACGTCAGTGCTCAACAGTATTCAATAAAGAGCAAATGACATCAAGCAATTTTTATTTTACATTGTCAACATAATAGACTAATCAAGTATATCTGTAATTATAATGCAGAATAAACATTATTCTATAAATATCCAACCGATCCGCGATCTGTTACTCTAAATTTGGTTTTGTCGTTTACAAGGAATAAGTCACATCTATTTTAAATTTAAGGGTAAAAAACCAAGTGATGATCTTGTAAGAAACATTAGATTTCTGTTGCTCATGATGCTGTTGCGAGATAGTTAACTGCTGCTGCACCACATTATAAGAAACTTTTTGCGAATAAATATAGCAAGACATTGAATTGTTTGAAAGTTCAAAAATACGGGGTCAATTGGACTTACCAATGTCATCATCCTGTCTGGTAGCAGTTAAAAATAAAAATACCGAAATAGCCACAATCCTCAGGTGCAACATAACCAAAGTATGTTGTTCTGCTGCGTGAGCAGAAATTTATAAAATATAAAATCCAGATAAGCGACGAACTCCATAAGCTTTTTCAAATAGTACCGTAGCGCTACCTTGGAACATTGCGGACATTGATGTTCAACGAACTTCATATACAGAAACAACTGTCACATGACGGTCAAACTAGAGTCTTGAGTAGACGGAAGTTGTAGACTGCCTTTCATCTCTAGTATTGACCTGAGATATAGGAGAGAGTTATTGGTAACAGGAAGGTACGATAGCTGTCATATTCCACCTGAATATAAGGAGCGAAAACATTAGTGGTAGAAATTATTTGGGGAGTAAAACCGAGACTAATCCTCTTAAATACTTCCACTACCGCTGACTGGTTTACTACAGAAGATAACTAAGCGAACATACTCTATTCTATTAAGAAGCTAGATGTAACATATATCGACTTTTTGGTTGTGTTAATATATATACATATATATATATATATATTCGAAAATCCTTTCTCGTATTTGATTAGTTTAATTTCGTTATTCTTTAACGCTATTTAAATAGATGAAATATACGAGGATAGGCAACATACATATTTTGATAGCGATCATTCAATCACGATCATTTGTCCGATCTCACTGGAGTCAGATAAAGGGTTACTAAAAACCGGTCGTGTGTTAGCATCAGGTACTGAAATTGGCGTCATGACTTTGAAATATTTAGTCCACTAGATTGGAAAAATATTCGAAGATTATCAATATTCCAGTCCGTTCACATTTCCATGAATGATCGTGATGTATATTGGTGTCATATGTTACTAATTTGTTTCGAACAATTAAAAAACAACCACTGTTCGTATCAACGACGTTGGATGTTTTTCTTTGTCGCAAATGTTTATTACTTGATGAAATTTCTAACATATGTTCAAATTCATATACTTCTTTACCGTGTATGGAACCATCTACGATTTCTGAACAGGAGAGTACTATTACTTTATGCAGACTTTTCACATACTATTTATTCAGTAAAAGTTCTTGTATACCATTTTGTCCGATATCCAATCAACTTATACATACAGGAGATTTGTATTCAAATTTTGGAAGCCGGTTTTTAATTGCTAGAATTTTTTAATTTAATGAAATAATCTAGTTTAAACGTTTCTGGTTATATGTTTTTACGACTTGACTTGTTTTATTTAATAGTTCTTATATTTGTATTCAGATTTAACCATATTTACTGACGAAAAATGTTACGTCCGGTTATTATGTCTATTAAAGGAAATGTTTATATGCTAGAATAATATTTGGTAACGCCAACTTTAAGACAGAGAACATGACTACTTCTATCGTTTTCTTTATTGACCCACTAACTAGATTAAAAAGACCAGTTTAATAACCGTAGCATATTAGTGATGACTTCAACTTATCATATCTTGAAAATACATCTAAGTCAATCAATTATGATTACGAGCTGAGACTTTTTCACTGAATAAACAGTTGTCACTGAATAACTTGATGTGACGGAAATTCATATTAATCGGTATTCATTAACTTTATCATACATTTTATTTGAGGATTTAGCATCACCACCACTTCCTTATTTTATTGGCATAATTCCTTCAGACTCGCCTAAAAATGAGCTGTCCATCACCATCTTCGGTCTTTAATCTCAGGCGAGCACCGGATTTGTGACCGGAAGTTCACACCGCAATTTAGCTCCTAAACTTTATGTGCAATTTTGACCGCAGTTCTTCTGGTTCTATAATGTCACCGATTGACGCTTGTTGGAAATTTATCATCATTGTTATTAATGCTGGAGAATAGCTACACAGGTGATTCATGCTGCAGTCTTCTGTGAGCATCATAGCTATGTCTGTTGACCCCTCTGTAGTTGGATAATCAGTCTGTGTTACTTAAAAGAAGGTTATCGTACATTATCATTTCCCCAACAGTTTAAGAAGACCTTTGCATGCAGTGAGGGCTGCTTCACCAGTTTTCTCGACTTTGGACTTGCCTATCGCTCTCCAGTGCTTTTGTGATATAACAGTAGTTACCATAAAGACGTTTTTCTGGCAAGTTTAATGAGCTTTATATATGTTTGGAGATGTGTAGTGATATTTTCAAATCTGCAATTATGGAATCAATCTATTATTCTAATACCATAGATAAATGTACTAATACCGACTTGGACCATGATTATACAGAGAGGTTTGTTTTAATATCTGGCACAGGATAAGAGTTTATTGAATTGATAACTGTGGCGATAACCACCTTGATGATCAATCGTTTGCAGAGAAACGAATCAAGGTATGTTTAGTCAGCAGGTGGCACTCAAACAAATTATTGTCTTTGAAATGAACTTTCATTAAAAAAATACGGATAAATTACAGAAAATAAGTGCAGTGTGAAGTGGTATGAGACGATGTGGGACGGGACAAAACCAATGAAATATAGGCTAGGGTAAAGCATATCATAAACGTCTTTCTGATTTCGAAAGAGTGACAAGAAAATGTTAAGTATCTTAATACACATATAACCTTATCATTATTACTTTTTATCATGTATCATTCTTTTTTATCAGGCCTCAACCGTTTAGTCATGGAGTAAGTGTCTCAATTCTCATGTGGTTTGTTGTCTTTTTAGAGTGGTGAACTTAACGTAAGATTACTAACATAAGCCTAAGAAATAGCATCAATTGGAAAATAGCTTCAATAGTATTGGATAGTTGACCCAACTATAATCATAAAGCCTGCAAATTACCACAGGAATAAAACATTACGTAAACTAATATGTCTTGTAGGTTGAACGCCTTATTCAGATCTTAAGTTATTCGGTTAACCCCAGGGCTAGTACTACTCAGCGACTTGAAGACCAGAGAGAAGATACGAGTATCAGAGAAACACTTTACTACAAGGTCCATTTTTGTACAGAAAATCATAGGTATTTATAGAAGTTAGCATATGTTAAATCAACATACTATTTTAGCCAATCCATTTAACGACATATATTGCTACCGACCAATAGTAGCATGCCACGTTGCAATCAAGAATGTCCTATCGTACTCTGATTGGCTGGGGCTCCTTATGAGCCTCTGGAGGCTCTGTTGGAGTTCTCTGGAAGCCAACTCAACACCTCCCCCGAATAAGATTTATTTCTAGGGTCAACTTGTAGTTTGACAATTGGGTTGCGACGTCGTCCCATTATTCTCGTCGTCTTCCTTGACCACGGCTTCTTGTCAGTGTTCTTGGGCATTTGTGGCATTGGTGCATCTAAGAATAAATCTAACGGAAAAAATCGGCCGGTCACTTCAATTCTGCATCGTTCTTTTGTCTTTGAGGATTTGATTTGTGTGTCGTGTACATGTCCCAAAAGTTCCCCGAACTGTGTACAGAACTCTTCCCAATTTTTGTACGACTTCTCTCGGCTCCCATCGGTTCTTCCCGATGTACGATTTAATGTAATTTTTGTCGCCAACATTGAAGTTCCGGATATTTGGATTGTGACTGCGCTCATCAACTAATTTGGATGGCAACATGGCATTGAAGGTGGTTCGAACACGCCTTCCGAACATGACTTCCGCAGGAGACTTGCCGTCCGGAACGTTCGGATTCGGAGTGTATCTGTAGGATGTTAAAATTTTCGTGATCACCTGCCCAGTCGGCCCTTCGCCTCCCCCCTTCAGTAACGCTCGTTTAAAGGTGTCCACGAAGTGTTCTGCTTGTCCGCTAGATTGTGGATGATAGGGTGGAGAACGAAGACGTGTTATTCCGTTTGCTTTACAGAAATACTTAAACGATCCCGCGGCGAATTGCGAGCCGTTATCTGTTACTAAGGTCTCTGGTACTCCGAAACAGATAAACAGGGTAGACAGCTTGTGGATTGTTTCTGAGGTTGTACAGTTTGGCATGGTATATACTTCCGGCCATTTAGTAAATGCACCCACGATAATTGGAAACATTTTCCCTTGGATTGGACCAGCAAAATCTGCATGAATTCCTTCCCAGGGTCCTGCAGGCGTAGGCCAGTACTGAGTTTCGCATTTCACAGGATTTTTAGCGGCTTGAATGCATGATGGACATTTAGGGCACTTATTCTCGATATCCTTGTCCATTGACGGCCAATAAGCATAACTACGAGTCAACGATTTCATTTTATTGATTCCAGGATGGCCACTGTGAAACTGCTTGAGAACCTTGTGACGTAATTACTTCGGAATAACAATTCGATCACCGAACATAATACACGAGTCAACAACCATTAGTGATTCTCGTCGACGAAAAAACTGTAAAAGTTCTCCGTCAAGGCGATTGTTTGGCCATTTGGTCGAGAGATAGCATTTGACTGTGCTCAGTATCTTACCACTTTCAGTGATCTTCTTGATAGTTTCAAAGGTTACAGGGAGTCCATTGATTGCGTCATCGGATACACGATGAACTTCTATATTTTTATATTTGCTACAAGAGTCTCCTCTGGGGTTTTTGATTGGGAGCCTATTATTCTTGACAATGCGTCAGCTTGTCCGAAGGTGATAGTAGACTGATACTTTATCTTGAAGTCGTAACCAAGAAGTGTGGTTGCCCATCGTTGGAGTCGGTTAGCTGTATGAACTGGAATACCTTCCTTTGACCCATAAACTGCAAGTAGTGGTTTATGGTCTATTATTAGAGTAAAACGTCGGCCATATATCATCTTATGGAACTTCTTTACTGCAAAGATACTTGATAGGGCTTGTTAAGTTTGCCTTACATTGTTCCTATTCTCTCTCCTTCCACTTCTTTGTTTATTGTTTTATACTACTTATTTATATTCAGTAAGCAGTTGTATCCTTAACAATTTTCACATTTACATTGTAACGCAAGTTGTACTGTAACATTCGGAAACGTTCCCATATATTTATAATGTTTATTGCACTTATCATTGTATTTGTCATTGTAATCACTGTACTTTAATTACTGTAACGGTTATCCACAGTTGCGGATTTGTTTAAACGCAACAGTTTCCATATTGTTT